ACAGTAGAGTCAGAGTAGATTCACAGTAGAGTCAGAGTAGATTCACAATAGAATCAGAGTAGATTCACAGCATGGACACTATAGAGTCAGACTAGAATCAGAGTAGAGTCGATGGTGGCCTGCTGTACCTGCAGCATGATGATGTCTTTATCGAACATTTCTATTCTGCACTTGACGTTGTGGTAATAATAAATCTGAAATGGTAAACAACAACAACAACACGTGTTTATGAGCAGCTTCTTGTATAATTCCATGATTTAACAATATAATGTAAACAGTAAACAACAAAAACAACAAATGTTTACTACCATCTGCTCAACTTAGTCCTTGAAGTGCTGATCATCAGCGACACACTCACCTGGTTGATCAGAGAGAAGCCATTCCTCCTCCACATCCCAGCATGCACCTGTGCACAGAGCACAAGGCAACGCAGTGGGAGTTCAATCAGGAGATGGGGGCAGAGTTCACCCTGAGGACACATATAAGAGATCATCAATAGATCTGATCGATTAGAAACAGCTGCTGTTGCTGAGGTGAAGTTTCTGTTAGAACTGATCAATCAGGCCAATGATCATGTTTACATTCATCATCAATATTATCAGATAAGTAAAGAATGGAACATCCCACACGTTTCATCTCAGACCATCAATTCTCAATAACTTGATATGAGAGAAGTTGATCATAATACTGACCAATGGCAGCTGCTCGGGGAACCGGGATGCCACCTTCGTTCTGCTGAGCAGAACATGGAGCCCTGAAAGGAGACGACATGCAGCACAAGTTAACATGCACATCCACAGCAGATCACGCAGATGTCCACTCTGCACACCTGTGTTTACCTGCCAGCAGCCTGCAGACCGGCAGGTGTATGGACACCTTCTCCTGAGACACCTGGTACCTGAACGTATCTACAGAGTGACCGGCCAGACTCAAGCTGATTGGCTGCTCACCATCAGACAAGCCGCCGTGACACTGACTGAGCGCACACAGACATTTCTTATAGGCCTCGATCAGGACGTGCTCCTGAAAATCACACGGAACAATCACTGAACAGTCCAAAGGATCAATGAATCAAGTATTGATTGTATAACATTTCAGTAACAATGTCCACCTGCAATGCTATGTAGCATGCTAATGCAACATGTTACTGTAGAGTGCTGTTGTGAAATGTTTAGTAGCATGTTTGTGGCGTGTTAATGTAATGTGCTAATACAGAATATGTATATATGTGTAGTGGGTTATTATTGCAGCATTTTAATGCAGCAAATTGATGTAATATAGAATGTAGCAGGCCATGTAGCATGCTAATGAATAAACTTGTAGCATAATAATGCAACATGTTAATTTAGCAAGCTATACTAGCACGTTATGTAGAATGAAAAACTTTTATAATGCAGCATTGTGATGTAGCAGGTTAAAGTAAGAGATTAGAGGTTTCTTTTGTTTGTTTATTTGTCAGGAACATTGTACAGAAAAGCATTAACTGAATAGAGATATGCTGTACCAGATTATACCTTTCTAGCTAAATTTTCATCTGCAGTACCAGGTAAAAAAGTAATAATAAAAAGTTACAAAAAATAAAAGCCATAACAGTTGGATGAAATTCTACTGAGGTCACTTTGAAAAACTTGGTACTGAGATAAAGCCACTAACTTGTCAATATGCTTAATGACATTATCCATTTGGAAAACACTTTTGTGTCCAAACTTTAACCTCATACTGTAGCTGATGGCTTGTTGCTTTAATATTTCCACAGAAAGTTCTTTCCTTGACTTGAAAGGGGGAAGACTTGAAAGTTTCCTCCTTTTTCCACCAAATGATGGTCATTACAGCCAAAGAGTTCAATTTTAGATTAATCAGACATGAAATATTTCTGTAATGTCCGCGTGTGCAGTGTGCATTTACAAACTTTAGTCTCTTTATGTTGCTATGGGAGTAATGAGTGACCTATTAGCCCATACCAGTAAAGGCCAACTACATGCTCTGCTATGCATTCAAATCTGTGTAATATATATGAAACTTCAAAGTTCATGTTCAGTAATCCAGGTAAAAGAATCCAACAAAGTTAAGTCAGGTACTCTGGATGGTTTCTTTGTGTTGTGTTCCGGTAAGATGGCGCCCGTGTACTTGGCTTGCAATCCACCTCTGCTGATGGTGTTCGGATTATTTTTGTTTTGTTCGTTTTTTATCTGTGACATAAACTCACTGCTGATGTATGACCGACAACAGCTTCTGGATCTTCGTTTTTCTGCGGCCGATGTCGTTTATTTGGACCAATATGAGCGTACCTCTGGA